ATAACAAAAATACGCTATTTTGTCAATATAATGCATGTAAGACGTGGGTAATAAATAAAATACCACAATCGGTCTCATTACATACGAATTATACGAAACTTGTGACCTTCCTATGTTATCTGATCTCGCTTTCGCTCGGTCAGATACCATGGGAAGGACACTCGTTTCGTATGATTCGTATGCAATGAGACCTCGTGTAGTATTCTCTATGTATGTATTTGTTTCAGAAACTCCGTGTTCGCGTAATACGTGGGAAAGTCACTGGCCATCACAAGCATACCGTACAGAAGTATGGAGGGACACTCTCATAATCTTCACCATCGAGTCAGGTGCTTCTCATGCCCTCGCAGTGTCAGGTATTATCACCTTTAGTTATAGATGAAAACGATCCACGCACATGGGATATTCAGTACCTACTATCACTGCCAATTCAATGGTGAAAATCCTCTGCATTGAACATTTTGAAAGGGAGAGCAGAAGCCAATTGAATTGTTACCAACAGTCAAAACTATTTCAAAGGGAGAATGTATTACAGTTGAGCTAAATCTAGTCACAAACATGGCAAACGGCTGCCATAATACCTTGACTTGTGTCAGTTTTCTTTTCTGCAACCAATAAATCATAATTAAATTCATATCAGCGGTGTTGGGAATTGTGACTGCAACGAAGCATGTATGCATGTAGCAGTTTGCAAGAGTCGTGTCGACCTAGTGTGACGCATAAACCTTTTCCATCTATGCAGTTACTCTGGTATCAACCATAAAAGGAATTGTACCTTGCTAAACCCGCGACATGGGCTGACAACTGCACATTGCACTGTGTCATTACGTTGGTTCTACACACAATGTATGTACTGATCTCAGTTGGTTAAAATATGACTAAAGTCATTGGGATCTATACGCTATTCTACACATGAATTGTAATAGACATTACGTTGCTGTCATGAATTTGTACGCGGCCCCCGACGAAAATTAATTAATGAAAACTATTTTAAGTAGTTACTTGACATTTGATCCTGACATAGAACCTTAAATTTGAAAACAAATGTAAATGAACTTTGAAATATCGAAATAATGTCCTAGATTCGTGGAAAGCACCATCCACGCAATATATATGATAAAGTTCGTACTGGAAAGCTTGAAAGGTGTATAATGTTGCATGCTGTTCTAAAACATTAATGAAGAGAAAGCATAATCTATTTTGGAATGAATGAAATGGTCCGAAACATCACATGAGCAGAATGCTCAAGCGGCAGAAGACCCAAAACTTCTGATGGACGTCCGCGTTAACCTCTCTCCTCTTCCTGGTGGAAACTCTTCCGGCACAGAGCCAATTGGCCCCGAAATTTCGGATCCTCACTCTTCCTCTTTCTTAGTTGCAGATCTTTCCGAAAATCCTGTGTATATTTTGTTTCAGTCTATTTATGATGAAATATCTGATTTACCTTTAGAAAAACGGAGGACAATTAAACAAACAACATAATCTTTTCCCACAAATGAAATTAATTAATTAAATGATATTATTTCTATGAAACTTCCTGTGGACTGTTCATTACATGAAGTTAATTGGTGTGTCTATGTTGCCGCTCGTACCTTGGAGGATCTTCACACAGTTTCCAAAGAAACACATCCAATACTAAGAACAATACACCAATAAATAAAAAGCGGTTTCAAGTGAAACTAACAGAAACTAGAAAATGCATTTCCTGGATAAAGCTTTGCCTGAAGTTAAGATCATCAGGGAGTCCACTTCTACAGGCAACATAAAACAAACGGTGATGGTGAGCATGATAAACGGCCTCCCATGGATGTCAATGAAAGGTTCTGGAAACAGTTGTGGTCTGTACCCAGCGACTGTAACCTTGAGGCACCATGGGTCAGTGATTATGACCATGCAATGCATGAGAAAGTAACTAGGTCGTTTGTTTGTTACATCTCACTAGATTGCCTGAAACGTGTCATCAAAAGGTCCAAATCTAATACAGCTCCAGGGCCTGATGGCATTCGAAATCGGCACTGGAAACTGTTCCCCTGTGTCAAAACACCATTACTTCACCGTTTCAATTCTCTTGTGGACACAGGTGATGCTCCTCCATGGTTCTGCAAATGTCGCACAATATTCCTTCCCAAATAAGGAGACTTGACTGATCCCAAAACTTCCGCCCTATCATATGTTTGAATACTCAGTAAAAAAAAAACCTTCACAGGGTGTTTAACAAGTTTCGTGTCATCTTACTGCTCTTCCAATGATATAATTTACAGAGAGCAGAAGTGGGAGAGAAGGGAAATTGGGGGTGCAAGGATCAACCTCTTGTACAGAAAATGATTTTGGAAGAGGCTAAAACATATCACCGCAACCTCTCCATGTGCTGGATTGATTACAATAAAGCATATGACTCTGTCTCTCACGAATGGATTCTGAAGTGACTTTGTTGTATTGACCTCCCTGAGCGACTACTTGATTTAATCAAGTCTTAAATGAGTTGCTGGTCGACACAACTTGAGATGTACTCGCAAGGACAGGTGCAGACTTCGGAATCTATTCCAATCAGAAGGGGAATATTCCAAGGAGACTCCTTCAGTCCTTTGCTTTTTTGTTTGTCTCTAAATCCTTTGAGCTTTCTGCTCAACAGAGAGGAGGGTTACCATCCCGGACCTCCTCAGCACAGATCACCGCTTACTCGTCTCCTTTGCATGGATGACATCGAGCTCCTTGCCAAAGAAGATACCAATTTGAAATGGCAGGTTTTCCTTGTCGAGTCCTTTTTGAATGATATTGGCAAGACATTTTGGCTCGACAAATGTAATACTCTTCATTTGAAACGTGGCAAGGTAATTAATGATGGATCGGTCAAGTTACAGGGGGATTGAGGTATTGAGCATCTTGTGGAAGATCAGACCTACTCCTATCTTGGAATGCAAGTTCGACACAAGCTCCAAAATGCCCATATTGAAGAAAAACTTCGGGCCGACTATAAATCTCTATTAAAGAAAATCTGGAGCCCAGAGCTAAATGCTCGAAACAAGGCCAAAGCCACCAATAGTTTTGCTGTGCCAGTCCTCTCCTATTCCTTTGGAGTAGTCGATTGGAAAAAACAAGACCTCCAGAGTCTTGACCGCCTGACCAGAAGGATCACCACCCTCGTACCTCTCTCAATCGCTTATACATGCCAATCAATTCTGGAGGTCGGGGATTGATTAATGTGGAGGCTCTTCATGATAGAATTCTTTTGTGTACTTTTGCACATATTTATCTATCGCGTTGATCCTCATGTCAGTGAAGTACCCAATACACCTCTGTGGTGGTGGGGTGGGGTGTGTGTTGACAACCAGGGAATCCTTCATCATGTCATGTGTGTATGTTGTCACCAACAAAGTGATCATATTTCAAAACACTTCCGACCCACTTCACGACACTTGAACATATACGACAACAACCTCTTACGTTTCTGTCTCACTGTAGAAGGGACGTCTTCACTGAAGTACACGTTCGTTCCCTTCAGCAGATTTGCAGATGTCAGAATGTTTTGTTTATCTTTGTCGTCAGACAGCCTCACAATGATTGCCTTCCCGTTCATGATCCTGTGTGATCGTTGTATGCTGATTTTACTTTCATCCAGTTCCAGCTTCTCCTTCAATACAGATCGTACACTCCTTTCACAGTCACCCCACGTCTCATTTGAACCTGTAAATATCAAATTATTCCTTCTACTCACATTTTCCAGATAATCTTCAAGTCTATCAATAGTGGGGGACCCAAATCAGCATACACCACATCAAAGATATGAGTTAATTTCCTAATTGAAACATCTAAATACATTAACACAGTGGCATTCGCTTTGAAACTAACCAACAACGGGGAAATAACTATGATTTGTAACCCCTATTATATTCATATCATACTGATGCTTGTTTATATAATTACTGTGGACCTTTGGGCTGCAGCAACTCTACCTTATCTAGATCTCAATCTCACAGAGCATGTTTGGGACATTATAGGTCGCACAATCCTCCACTACCCTCCTGATGTAGTGTAACAGGCCCTCCGTCAAGATTATAACACACAAACTCATAGACAACGTCCGAAACAGGGATGATATTGCAAATTGTGGAGATTAACCAGATATTGACATTTCGCTGTGTTATTAATACTGATTTTCTGTAAATTCATATTACTATAAAGGATTTACAATGGCAGAACGAATCAATGGCAACAAATACAATGGCTCCATTCATGCTGAATGGTCAAGCTCACAAACTAGGCTGTCAATCACTTCACTGGTGGTCTTAATGTAATGTGAGATTATATATATATACACGTGCAACACGCAAGGTAGACCAGCCAGGCAGGCAAACTGCAGGCTCATGTTCAACATTTGTAATTGTTTATCTCTCAAGGATTGTTAACGTCTATTTTCAAACACCAGCAAAATCTGCTGTTTCACAAAAGCGCGTGCTTGTACTACTCAGAGTGCAGAGTGAGGTGTTAGAATGTGGCGGGTACCGTGCAGCGTAAGGCTAAAAACAACTTCCATTCCCAGTAACAGAATCGAATGTGTGGGTGTGCAAGTCATGCTTCCCTCTTTGCAGACACCCGGTGTCATAACACATTTTCAGTGATGGGTTCATATAATTTTCACAAACGGAATTTGTTTCTGAAGATATTCCGGCTATTATAATGCACTGGCGTTTCTATATTCGACAACTTCAGCGTTCATCACTAATTATTCAAGTTTCGCCGACTCCCTGTGAAAGTTCACAAAGCACAAAGTTCTCACCATGTTGTGAATAAGGTGAAATTTCCTGAACAAAGTTCAACTGATAACACTGTCTCTGCTGTGAAATTTTCACTCTGATCCACTTAATGAAAAATGAATCCTACAATTCGAGATGTGAAACTGATTTCATCTAAAGCAAAATGTCAATTATCAGATGTTAAATGTTAAATCTCGTCTCAAATGATAAACACGGCACTGTGTTTTAGGAAAATGAAATTTAATCTGAAATAATTTGTAATTAATGACATTTTATGGACAAAGCAACACAATTATAAAAACAAAACAGGTGTCTATGTTCTTCCCTGTCCCCTTTCATCAATAGGAAACAGAACCTAAATCAGTGGTCACTGAATAACAGTCAGACTTATGTACCAGATGCGAAGCTAGGACATACTCCCACATACATTTGTTTGAATACCGCTCTACAAATGTAAGTATCTCTTTCCAATCGTTGTCGAGAGCTTTGTCATAATCGAAACCATTATGGACAGCTGGGCTTAGAATGAAAATGGTTGGACATTCGTACATTGTATCGTGAGGTGTATTCGAATTTATTATAAAATTTACTTGAATAATATAGAAGTATCCTCACGTAGATTAATACTGAAAATAACAAGTAATGACACATGCTTGCCTCTGTAGTTAAAAAGCATTTCCGGTGTTTGATGCACGTGCATGTTCGTGTCCAGATCTGCATCCACCTCGACATTTATACATCGAATTACGGGGCGTGTCTGCTTGCTGGCCACCTCGGCATTTATACATCGCATTACGGGGCTTGTCTGCTTGCTGGCCACCTCGACATTTATACATGGCATTACGGGGCTTGTCTGCTTGCTGGCCACCTCGACATTTATACATCGCATTACGGGGCTTGTCTCGCTTGCTGGCCACCTCGGCATTTATACATCGCATTACGGGGCTTGTCTGCTTGCTGGCCACCTCGACATTTATACATGGCATTACGGGGCTTGTCTGCTTGCTGGCCACCTCGACATTTATACATCGCATTACGGGGCTTGTCTGCTTGCTGGCCACCTCGACATTTATACATCGCATTACGGGGCTTGTCTGCTTGCTGGCCACCTCGACATTTATACATCGCATTACGGGGCTTGTCTGCTTGCTGGCCACCTCGACATTTATACATCGCATTACGTGTTACACGTGTTACATACCTCTCGCACGTGTGGTCCGGACTACACATGGAGAAGTAAGGACAACCTGTACAAGTCTCTTATTGACTATATTCTTGTACCCTCTCATGCGGTAAGCAGCTTACTTCAGTGTTGTGTGCTTGATCAATATGACTACACAATCTCTGACCATCTTCCTTGCTTCGTAAATATTAAAGTACAGCATAAATCTGCAACTCCTACATCCAAGACATGTATTCCAAAATGGCACAAAGCTGCCTCCACTGAATTAAATGCTTACACAGAGGAAACAGAGAGACTTCTCTCTAACATATGTATGCCATGTAATGAAGCACAACCTGCAGACATTGAGCTCTATAATGAACAGATTAGAAATGCCCTTACTAGTGCTAGTTCCGAGTGCGTTCCCTCTGGAACATTTAGATCCTATCTAAAGCCATATTGGAAAAGTAGCGGCCTAAATGATACTCATTACCAAATGCGTGTCTCTCGGCGAACCTGGCTCGCAGACGACAAACCAAGGGGAGACGATTCGACTTCATATCGAGAATACAAACGTGCTAAGCGCGACTTCCGTCGTTTACATCGGCAGGCAAAACGAAAACAACGCAAAGAACTATCTCGTGTGAACTTGAAATTTCTTCAGAAACAGATATTAATACCTTCTTTAAATCTGTGCGTAAGCTGAGACGCCCGCGGTCAACAGTTGACCAATTAGTGTTTAACAATACCCACGCGGACACACCAGAGGCCATATGTAACCTGTGGGGTGCTTACTATGCTAACCTCGCCATACCACATCATGCTGAAACTTTAGATGATGAATTTAAAGCATCTGTGGATATCAAACTGGCAGATATAATTTCACAACATGTTGATTCTACTGCTGCTGACGCTGTACTATATGCCGATATCCAGCCATCAGAGTTAAAACAACATCTGGTTAATCTAAAGCGTAACAAATCCCCTGGACCAGATCACGTAAACAATGAACATCTTATCTATGGAGGTGACGTACTGGTCGATAAGCTCTGGGTCTAATTATGAAAGCTGTGTACTTTCCCAATATCTTTAGACTGGGTATGATTGTTCCACTTTATAAAGGAAAAGGTGCAAAATGTGATCCCAAAAACTACAGAGGTATCACCCTAACCTCCTGTATAGGGAAACTATTTGAAAAACTATTACTGTCACGTCTACAATGTTATATAAGCCATATTAATCCCCACTTTCCAGACCCTCTACAGTTTGGATTTAGAAAAGAACACGGTGCAATTATGTCGACGTTCATGCTCAATGATTGCGTAACATATTATGCTGAGCGTGGCTCCCAAGTTTTCTCAGCTTTTCTCGATAATGAGAAAGCTTTTGATCGCATCTGGCATGGCGGTCTATTCTTAAAACTCCACAATTTGGGTATAACGGGTAAAATGTGGAATCTGCTATATCACAGCTACACCTGCAGCTCTTCTTTTGTAATGTACAACGGAAATAGCTCAGACACTTTTGAAGTAAAACAAGGTGTAGGGCAAGGTAGAGCCTTGTCTGCATGGTTCTTCCTTGTCTTCATAAACGATTTACTAACTGAATTAAGACTTAGTAACAATGGTATATGTGTATATGGTATTGATGTACCATCAGTCCTGTTAGCCGATGATACGACACTGTTAAGTACCACTCCGTCTGGGCTGCAGAATTCACTTCATATTGTTTCAGAATATGCTTCCAGATGGCGCCTAACATATAATGCATCGAAAAGCACTGTTGTAGTTTTTCGGAAAGGGAAACAATCTTGTCCTGAGCTCACATTCTCCTTTTGCGACACCTCTATTAATATAAGTCCATCAGTAAAATATGGTGGTATCCTACTCTCATCAGATCTGTCTTGTAAAGATAGAGTTTTCGCTAACTGTCAAAAGGCCAGGCAAACCATAAATTCCTTGCGCTCATTGGGTCTTAACAGTACTGACTTACATCCAGTTACATATGTTAATATATGGAAAGAATGGTTTTACCTACAAGCTTCTATGGTTGTGAAACCATGCCTACGCTATATGGCAAAAACATTGATTTGGTGGAAAATACCCAACGATATTTCGCTAAATGTATTCAAGGGTTCAACAGACGTATGCCAACAGATTCTGTATGTGCCAACCTAGGCCTCTGGACAATGGTTGGGTACATTGACAAGTGTAGATTATTATTCCTTGGAAGATTATGTAATAACGCCTGTAATTCATCAACGAAAACACTGTTCTGTGCATTTTAGCACTCACTGTTCACTTAAATATTAGCTCACGCAGTATTTGCAACACTCTGTTATGTACAGCACGGAAGTATAACCTACTGGATTATGTATCAACTTACGTGCAAACTGGTATTTTCCGTCAAAGACAGTTTGGCGCAAAATAGTTATAAGCTCTGTCTTCTCTTATGAAGAGGCTCAATGGAAATTGAGACTCTCCATTAGAAAAATATGTCCAGATATGATGTAATCCATCAAACACTGAGTCTACATAGACTTTACACTCTAATGTATCTGTACCCAGAATATAAAGACCATATACAACTTGCTGTACTAGTCGGTTCTAAAGCCAAATTCTCAAAAGAATGTATGCTTTGTAATAAGTACTGCTATGACCACGATGCCCACATCATTTTGCATTGTGAATCTGTAATGAACCAAAGAAATAACTTTTATATGACGCTACTTGACCTACTGGACGTAGAATTATATGTCTTAATTGAAATGCTTGATGATGAAGATGCCCTTGTACTGTTTTGTGGTGCAAAACTTCACATCCCTGGCCTTCATGAAACAGCATGGCAAACGACCATACTACATTTTTCGAACTACATCTATTCTTTAAAGAATTCCTTGATGTATACTTTCTGAACTATCATTGTTGTAAATATCCGTGCTTTGTACATATCATATGTGGATATATGTAACTAACTGATGTTTGTTTATGTAATCTTCGAATATACTTTTGGAGGAAATAAAGACATTCATTCATTCATTCATTCATACATGGCATTACGGGGCTTGTCTGCTTGCTGGCCACCTCGACATTTATACATCGCATTACGGGGCTTGTCTGCTTGCTGGTCACCTCGGCATTTATACATCGCATTACAGGGCTTGTCTGCTTGCTGGCCACCTCGACATTTATACATGGCATTACGGGGCTTGTCAGCTTGCTGGCCACCTCGACATTTATACATGGCATTACGGGGCTTGTCAGCTTGCTGGCCACCTCGACATTTATACATCGCATTACGGGCTTGTCTGCTTGCTGGCCACCTCGACATTTATACATCGCATTACACGGGGCTTGTCTGCTTGCTGGCCACCTCGACATTTATACATCGCGATACGGGGCTTGTCTGCTTGCTGGCCACCTCGACATTTATACATGGCATTACGGGCTTGTCTGCTTGCTGTCCACCGACATTTATACATCGCATTACGGGCTTGTCTGCTTGCTGGCCACCTCGGCATTTATACATCGCATTACGGGCTTGTCTGCTTGCTGGCCACCTCGACATTTATACATCGCATTCACGGGCTTGTCTGCTTGCTGGCCACCTCGACATTTATACATCGCATTACGGGGCTTGTCTGCTTGCTGGCCACCTCGACATTTATACATCGCATTATTGGGCTTGTCTGCTTGCTGGCCACCTCGACATTTATACATCGCATTACGGGGCTTGTCTGCTTGCTGGCCACCTCGACATTTATACATGGCATTACGGGCTTGTCTGCTTGCTGGCCACCTCGACATTTATACATCGCGATACGGGCTTGTCTGCTTGCTGGCCACCTCGGCATTTATACATCGCATTACGTGTTACACGTGTTACATACCTCTCGCACGTGTGGTCCGGACTACACATGGAGAAGTAAGGACAACCTGTACAAGTCTCTTATTGACTATATTCTTGTACCCTCTCATCATGTAAGCAGCTTACTTCAGTGTTGTGTGCTTGATCAATATGACTACACAATCTCTGACCATCTTCCTTGCTTCGTAAATATTAAAGTACAGCATAAATCTGCAACTCCTACATCCAAGACATGTATTCCAAAATGGCACAAAGCTGCCTCCACTGAATTAAATGCTTACACAGAGGAAACAGAGACTTCTCTCTAACATATGTATGCCATGTAATGAAGCACAACCTGCAGACATTGAGCTCTATAATGAACAGATTAGAAATGCCCTTACTAGTGCTAGTTCCGAGTGCGTTCCCTCTGGAACATTTAGAT